ATAAAAAGTTAATATATTTTTTAAAAATCATGTGTCCAGATGTTTGACTAGAAATCACACAACGCATGGCACAAAGGATGATGGGCAGAAAAACACTGACACTGATCCTCAACATGCAGTGAGTTATTAATTCTGTCCTGTATGATCATGTGAATGATGTGAATATGATCGGTGCTGATGAGGACTGAGGGAGTGAAAGATGAGTGCTGCTTGTTGCTAGGCAACATTAGTAAACAAACATCAGCATGTGGGGGAAAAAAAGCCTAAAATGAATTCAAATGTTGCAATATTTCTGAAGTAAAGCTCAGCCGGTGACGGGGTTGAAATGGGGCGATGGCACAGATGACATGAGCGTGAGTTACTCACCCTCCTGCTCCTCAACCGCTGCAAACGCACAAATAATAAGAAAAATAACCCAGTTTAGACATTCAGAACCCTTAAGACTTAAATGACACCGCAGCAGACTCTGAGAACACTCACATCCTGTTTCTGAAGATCTAAAAGATGGAGCTCAACTACAACGAGAACTAACAGAGCTTCTGCTACAAATAGAGGACAAATAAAGACCTGAAATCTTGAAAGAATCCACCTTAGGAGACAAGACTCAACATTATACCAGCCATTATATTTTTCATTTTACATGAGATTTGGGTTTTGTTTTAAGCCGTGATGTGTGTGATTTAGCTATTTTATTTAAAAAACAAAAAACGATTTTCAAATAAACAATGTCACAAAGAAAAATGTATTGCATAAAGAGGAATGTTTCTAACAATAACGTTAGCTGAATGCTTGAGTTTGAACAATATAGTCAGAAATACGCTTCTTGTAAAAAAAAAAAAAAATTATATAAATAATAATATTATTATTATTATTAATATAGTATTATTGACATCATCTATAGTTCAGTAAATATTGCCAAGGTAACATTTCTGGAAAAAATTAATAAATATAAATAAATAAAACTGACAAACATACAACAAAATCACTAAAACTTCAACTAAAAGTAAAATGCAAACAGGAAATATTAAACAAAATATAAACTTAAATATAATTCAAAATACTAAAAATATAATGATACAAAAAAGAAAAAAAAAATCAAATATTATTAACTAAAACTAACAAAAAAAAGACAAAAAAAAAATATATATATATTTATGCATGCGAGTGTGTGCGTGCGAGTGAGTGTGTGCATGTGTGTGTGTGTGTGTGTGCGTGCGAGTGAGTGAGTGCGTGCGTGCGTGCGTGCGTGCGTGTGTGTGTGTGTGTGTGTGTGAAATACTAAAAATATAATGATACAAAAAAGAAAAAAAAAATCAAATATTATTAACTAAAACTAACAAAAAAAAGACAAAAAAAAAATATATATATATTTATGCATGCGAGTGTGTGCGTGCGAGTGAGTGTGTGCATGTGTGTGTGTGTGTGTGTGCGTGCGAGTGAGTGAGTGCGTGCGTGCGTGCGTGCGTGCGTGTGTGTGTGTGTGTGTGTGTG